GTGTGGAAGATGTGTGGTGGCCGGGTGAGTGTGATGCCCTGGCATACCAATCTAACCCACACACACACACACACAACCACGCACCCACACGCGGGTTGCCAAGCCCAAGGCGTAACAGGCCGCAAGTTATTACCGAGACGCAGGGCTGCGAATAGAAAAAATTTCATACTTTTTTTGGGGCAGCCTGAAAAACGAACAAAATTTCATTGCTTCTGCCAGCCTGCCTCTGTGCTCTTTGGCATTTGGCAAACATATTTTCGCAAATGTTGTAAATAATTTTAAATGCACACCTTGTTGCCCCAGCGCCAGCCCTCTTGCTCAGCTTCCGTGCTCTTGCTTTGAGTCTGCCTTTTCCAAGAGGCATGTTAGGGGGAAAGGAGAGGCCAGGCGATAGGCCGACTACAGGACTCTTGGGCGGAGTCCACGACCCTTGGCGTATTAGTGTCGCATTGACACGTAAATTGACATGAAATTGAATCAATGCTGTAATATGTCCTTGGGGGACGACAACCCCCCACACAGCCAGAGGGGCAGACAGAGACAGCGGGAGAGAGAGATGGTCCTGAGGCTCTTTAGACCTACAAGGACAATGACTTTAAAATATCTCCCTCTCTGTGTATATATGTGTACATATATATTTTGCTCTTGTCAGCCAAATTGAGCTGTAGGCCTTTGGGCCTTTGCCCTACCCTCTTAGCCTCTCACCGAACTGTGACTGTGCAAATTTTGTGTGTCTGTCTGCATGTTTGATTATATGTACTAAATCATCTCATTCTTTTCTTTCACTCCCTTTTTTTTTGGTGTCTTGCTTGGGGCGGGTGGGAGCTGCGAGTTTATTAACTTGTTTAAAGACTGCAACGTTTAACCCTTTTAAAGCCATCCCCCAAACAGCAAACAAAATAAAACAAGGATAAAATGGAGAAGAGAAACGTGTTGAAATGGACAAAGAACATGAAAGAAACTGTTCACTTTTTGTGATTCCCCATGACTGAGGGGCCATAAAAGAGAATGTTCATGTTTAGAGTTTTAAAGCATGAAAAATATAACGATTTATAATGTGACTTTGGACAGACACAGCAACTGTCAAAGTTCTTCCGTTATCAATTAATTTGTATGTGGTATTAATATACCAAAGTGTGGATTAATAAAATATTTATTAATTCAGAAAAGTATTGTAATTAATAATAAAAAAAAACAAGTACAAATATTTATAAATGAATGTAGGGCATTCGGATAGTTATCACCGGCAGCCATATCCACACAACTGAGTAACATTTGAAGAACCATCATAATAATTATTATTAAAATATAATTACAAGACTATTTGAAGGAATTTTCAATCACGCATCTAGTTGCGTTATCTAGCAATCTACCACTGATTTTTGGGGCATTCTCTTGGCTTCGGAAACAACAAGCGACTTGATGTTGAAATAATTGATTTGATCTTCCGTCGATTGGCATTCTTTGGCTTTGAAGCAGACCTCAACACAAAGTGCCCGGACCCACAATCCCCTTACTTCTCAAAGGATAAACCAAATGTGGTGCAGTCGCTTTACGAGTGTGAGAGTGTTCGTCTGAGTGTGGTTGTGTGTGTTTGTGTGTGTTTCTGTGAGTGCGTGCATGCATGTGTGTCTATGCGTGTGGGTGTACCAGGGTGAAGTCAACAGACTTTGATCTTTGCCCGGGCGCCTTTGCCTTTGACAGCAGCCCAAACAACAGCCAGGACCAAAAAAAGGGGTTTTAAATAAATAATCTTAAATGAGGAAAAAATATACATATATTTAAACACACATGCATACATACACACACACAATGCTGTGTGGGTGGGAAGGATGTTGCTCTCCGTCTGCCATTTTCTTGGAACGTTTTGGGGAAATTAATTCGAGCAGAAAATTCATTTACAACATTAGCGAGACACACACACACACACACAGTGGAGTTCTCCTGCTGTTTAGGGTTTTATGACATAAATTACATCAAGCGCAAAATTTTAATATAATTTTCACTAAAAACGCAACGTGAAACTTTTTTAGTTACACTTCGTGCCCGTCAAAGGATGGGCCAAGGGCATGCGGCACGGGGAATGTGTACTGCGGGAGGCAGCGCGTGTGTGAAACAGGATATCCGCTGCGGAAGCTACAAATTTTCCACTTTTCCACACAGAAAGTGAGTGAGTGAGTGAGTGAGTGAGGAAGAGGGTACCCAGGCACCTTCCGAGGCATGTGTATGGGAAAGGGGGCGAGAAAACGGGTAAAATTTAAGGAGAAATAAAGGGAATATGGAGTGCGAGGGGGGGGGGGGGGGGGGACTCCTCACTCTGGTGGCACTCTGTGTGCGGAAGCTTGTCTCTAATGTGCTTCTGCTTACAACGCCATTTTATATTTATTTCGTTGCAACGTCTCAGGGGCGAGAAAGGGCTCAACTACTACATATTTGCCGAGTCCTTTTAATCATTTGGCAAACTTTCTCTGACACGCAGCAGCAGCAGCGACACAAGCAGCAGAACCTTTTCGTATGCCAAAAAACTACACACACATAAGTAAGCACTTACACATACATGCATAAGTACATACATACACACACACAGACACGCATGGGCATGCAGAAGCACAAAGTCCTTTTAGTTTTTAATGTAATTTTGAGACTTTTTCAGCTGCTGTGTCACTTTGCACTGTCGTGGATAGATAGTGCACGAGCAGTGCTCTGCTCTCCTCCACTCAGCCCTAACGTCGCTCTCTCTTCTTTTTATTTTAGCTTTCCTCTCGTGTACGTACGTGTACCTCTCTCTCCACCGCACACACACACACACACACACATTATTCTCTTAGTTCACTAGTTGTTAGCAAAAAGTTTTCTTAGTTTTAAATGATTTGGCAGGACAGTAGGAGAATGGCTTAAGGTTTCAAGAACTTTGCAATTTTAAACATTTTCCAATCAATATGTCTATCTTTATCTATAGGAATGATCAATTATGTCTATACCACAGCCGTTTGTCCGCATACTTCCATTAAAATCAAGTACAGTGTGTGGCAAAATAGCAGCTAATATAGAAAATATCAATAGCAAATATGTATCTGTAACCAAAGGTTACTAGTTCAGAGCCGCTTTCAGCATCTGTATATTAAACCTAATTGCACCACTGGAACTCTGACAACTTTCAACTGATTAAGAGGAAAAAAGAGAGCACATAAATGAAAGAAATAACTGAAACAAGTGGATACGCAAGCCTTTTGGTGAGATTCTCCACCCCCTAGCAGCGCTTCTGACCCCGGAAAAAACGCAAAGGAATCGTATTGAATTGAACCAATGCGAACGTAACCACCCGCGGAGCTCTAAAGGCATCAACAGTGGCAGGCCTCATAAATTTCATAGTGAAATTGTTAAATTTTAATAAAATCAAAGCGTATCAAACGCGATTTGTTCACCAGGCGACGACTGTTTCTGTTTCAGTTTCTTGGTATCCCCATCCAAAAAACCCAGTCACAGTCGTCCTTGCCATCGTTATCCTTGTTCGCAGTCTGGTTATATCGCGTGTTTATTGTTGCAACAGTCGCGCGGGGCTCTTTAAAATAATTTAAGGCTATGCCTGCTGCTGCTGCCACTGCCCTGAGGGGTTGGCTTGGGTTCGAGGATGGTTTCGGGTACGGGTGCAGCGTACAGCGTTCAGGGTACAGCATACGGATTCGGGTTCAAGTAATATCCAAGAGGATATTACCATCCCCCGCGAGACGATGCGCATTTGAACAGCAGCGATATCCACGCGAACATCGAAGCCAGCAAGCAGCCTTCGCGAACTGCTGCCGGGGCTGGCGCTTTTTGTGACTCGTTAAAGGATTAAAATCATTTTAATGGATTTTTCAAGCTGTTGTTTTGTTGTATAATTGTCGCCTCTATTGTGTCTCCCAGTGTTTCCATAAATAGGGCACACACAGACACACACAGAGAACGAGAGGGCACGACAGGGTGGTGGTTGTGCATTGCAAACTCCAGTCTCCAGTCTCTAACTGAAGGCTGACGACTTGTCCGCCCTGATCCATTTTTCATCATCTTTATGCTAATGGCTGGAGGTGTTAATGAAGCACAAGCCGGAGACAGCCGTGACTGCCGGGTCTAAATATGCTGGCAGTGCCGCACTGAAGATGGAAGCTGGAAGAACCGAATAGTGACGCATATTATGGTAGCTGCTGATAATAGAAAACTTGCAAGCACTTTCCATAGATGCTTACGGCTGCTATGGATTTGTATGTCTCCGCGAAATGTTAACCAATCTTTTAGGTGACTCAGGAAATAAAGTTTGGCTCAGCGATATATCCGTGGTCATTAATCCTTTCTCTGCCCGTCAAAAGAATAGCCAAAAATCCAAGAAAATGTCCAAGAACTCACTCCAGCAGTGGCTAATCTCATTAGTGGATATTGAGAGGCCAGCGGCCAGAGGCTGCGATGAGTCAAATGGCCCTTCCAGGCATTCGCATGGAAATGGAAACTCTGCCATATGATGGGGGGATATTCGCTTGGCAAGTCATCCAATCGGGTTATATACACAAATCTCTAATTAACCCATAAGCCAATCCAGATGGAACTCCTTCCCCCTCTCTGTTGCCCGCTGCATGGCCCATAGCCTTTGGCATTGGCATTTTGGGCTTCGGTTCGTTTAACCCCTTAAAAAGGTATATTTATTTACAGCTAATTTCGCGTGCGGCCCCGCGGCTAAAAAAGACAAGCAATAAGCCTGCAACACCCCCTCCCACATCTCTCACTGCCACTGCCACTGCCACTGCCTGGCTAGCTGTCCTACCACCATTCCCCCCTCGCCAACGTATGCCACCTGACATTGATACGTGTGGTTCGGTGTCTAACGAGCGACAAGCCCTTGAGGCCATTTGACAAAGCCGCTTAGTTCCGTTTGGGCCAGGATCCCATCCGCCCCATCGCTACCAAGTACCAAGTGGTAATGCTATCGTTTAAGTCGGGGTTTTCCCGTAGCCCTTGTTGGTGCTTACCTGGCAACTTGAAGGGCAATCCGGCCATAAGTGGATCCGGTCCAAAGCGCTGCGGCCCAAAGGCGAACGGATGGAAGCCCTGATGGCGCACCTTGGAGCGTGGCTCCCGTGGTCCATCCACGGTCACTTTGATGGCCTTCGTGTATGTGGCTATCTGTATGGGATTCGTCGAGATGACAATTGTCAGCGTGAAGCTTTTGCCTGTCAATTAGAGAATGAGAATACGAGTGGATTATCAGCATTTGTTTTGACCTCCAAATTGGATATTTTCACAGATTTATTCAACGATCAATGGCAAAGAGACCAAGAATCTCTTTTTTAACACTCTACAACCTAATCCTATCGTTGAATCAATTGAAAGGAGTAGAAGTGCCACTTTCAAGTGCCAGCAATGTCATAGAGACGATGCGTTGGTGTTTGGTTAATTTGTTGGCGACCATCCCAATGCAATCAATGGGGACACAAATTGCAGCAGCAGCGACAGCAGCAGCCGTCCCAGTCATGCCCCACGGTATTCCAGCAGCTGCCAAATTATGCTGTGAATTTATAGATTTTCTATCACCCTATGCATTGCTATGACCCGTAGATGAGTTAGCAGAGAGAGAGAGAGAGAGAGACAGGGGAAAGCGATTGGGATTGGGTTTGGGTTTGGGTTTGGGTATGCACACATGGAAATTAAAGTGCGGAATTTCGAGAAAATTAACCCCCGACGGGAGTTGTGAAAGCTTCATAAAATCACACAACACAAATGGAGCCTGGCATGCAGACACCAAGCGAAAGCAAATGAATGAATGGGTGGCTTTGTGAGTGGGGAAGGGTCCTGGCGCTAGGGTCCTGGACAGGAACCAGGATTTGGAATCGGACCTGCAAAAAACATTTCCTTTCGCATCCAATGTAATATTAAGCACCATGCGGCGACTTTTACAGGGCAACTACTCGCATTGTGGCTGGACAGGATCCTCATTCATTCCCCCACCTAAGTCATTGGCATTTTTGAAATATCCATAAAGTGGAACTGCCAGACAATGCGAGAGTCGCAGGGGCGCGAATATAAAATTCATTTGCCAAACATTTTGAATGCCAAAATGCTTGAGTTAATCAACAAAAGGTGAGAGGGTGCCCACGGCAGCCCAGGGGATGTTACACAAAGAGAGAGCTTTACAGCCTTGTTTGAGGCAAAAGGGTGCCGTCTCAATTGAATATGGGATTAGCCCCGATTAACCCAAAGCTAAGATGCATTCATGATGAGTAAACTCATCCAACTACTCGTCAAACTTTCAACTAAACTAAACATGAAAGTCAACACCATTCACACTCATATATTGGGCATATTCATCTCCCTCTGTGTTCCACCATCATATCATATAATCTCATATTAATTTCACTTAACGGCTGGCAACCAAAGTCATTTGCAGCTTTTGGGTCTGCACACAGCCAGACCCAACCAAAAGAACATATAAAAAACAAACAAACTTCTTAGATTAATATTAAATTAAACGAAGCATGCAAAAAACGCAAGAAGGCGGTAATCATTAAGACAAAAGGCAACAAACAAAATGTGAACCGACGACAGTTTTTGGGGGCATGGGGACCATGGGCATGGGCCCACACAAATTTTAAGGGCTGCAAAATGGCAAAGAAGTGGAAGAGAACCTGGGGGTGGCCCAGAAACCCCAGAAACCTACACAAGAAAACAAATGAACATAAACAGGCGAAACGAACCAAGAAACCCAAGAAAATGAAATGAAACTTTTTTAATTATGCGCCCTCAGATACTCGTGGCATACTGCGGGGTGCGGTGGGTGGCTTTAAGAGGAGTGAGAAAGTGGGAGAGTGGGTGGAAGAAAAAGTGTCCTGGAATGAGTGGTAGCAGAGGATGTAACCAAAGAAGGCTCACAAAGTGGCTAAAGACAAAGGACTTGAGCATCTATTTATTTTCACTTCTTTCCAGTTCGTTTTGTGTGTGTTTTGCCAAATGAGCAAAAATTGCAAATAAATCTGTAGCCTGTGTTGGCCATTTTGCACCACCAACCAGCAGCCCTCTGGCTGTGTGTGTGTGTGTGTGTGTGTGTGTGTGTGTGTGTGGGCGTGGCATGGAAAACAACGGCGACAAAGAACTTTTCCCTGCTAATAAGATGAAAAACCATTAAAAGTCGACACAAGTCGCGTCCATTGCAAGTTGAGACCTTCAAAAGTGGTGTAGGAATGTGGTGGGGTGGGGTACGGGCTGTTGGGGATCGGGGTAGGGGGCAGCTTGTGTGGGTAAATGGGTGACTATGGGTTGGGTGGGTGGGTGTTGGTGCTGCTGTTGTGCCGGGTTAAAATGTTGTCATTTTCGCAACAAAGCAGAAATTATCACCACTTTGCAAAAGGCGACGACAACGACAACGACAACGACGATGACGATGACGATGTTGGTGGAGCTGGGGGGAATGGGGGAACAGGGAGAACAGTCTGCACCCTTTTCGTAGAGCTCAACACTGACTTCATGTGCGTGTGTGTGTGTGTGTGAGTACAGTGGAAACTAATTAAAAAGAAACCCCAATAGAAAAAAGGGTTATAGCCTAAAGAATTATACCAAAAGTGGATTTCTGGTGGGTTTTCTACGAATTCAAGGCTTATTTCTAGATTAAATTCTACAGTGAAACCTGTTGCAATGGAGTTGGTAATGCCTTATGCGTAGTTTGCTTAATTCAGCTGTGTTCAGCTCTTCCATTCATAATCGTACACTTCGTTCTGGAAGCTTCACTATATCCTCATAAACATTTCTGTACGTATATGTATATATTTACTTCTGTATCTGTGTGTGTGTGTGTGTGTGTGTGTGTGTGTGTGTGTGTGTTTGTGTCTGCAAGTGGATTTCAGGCGCTAAGTGATTTTAAAACAAAGTTTTTGAAACGTTTAACCTTACACAACGAAAATGTTTCAGCAACAGCAGCAGCAGCCTTTGCCTGCATTTTAACTTTCGATGCTGATAATGAAGGCGAGCCAGGACCAGGACCAGGATCACGGACAGCACCAAGAACGGGACCAGAGCAGTGTGGGTGGCACTGGGTACAGCGCAGAGCGGCGCAAGGACAACAGGGACACCCAACAAGGGTTCGTATGCCTAGGCAATTTAATGGCTGTTGCTGTTGCTGCTGCTGTTGGGTCGGGTATTCGGGAGCTGTTAATGTCGTTAGTAGCATGGCGCCATAATTATAATTTGACATAAGACAAGAAGTCTGAGGTTGACAACAAAATGACATTTTAAATACACAGGCAGCAGCAGTAGCACCAGCAGCAGAAGGACCAGAATCAACTCTCTAGGCCCAAGGCACACAAGGCCTAGACCCCTTCAATCCCCCACATCCTTGTATCCGTTCTGTTCTGATGACTGTGCTCGTATTTAGACACTTAACAGATCATAATTTTAACACTTTGCCTTAATGCCAAGAGAATTTGCTTAATGGCCATGGCTTGGCGAGGCTTTTCCAAAGGGTCTGGAGAACGGCACCCAAAAGGTCGCATGTCCCTGCCACACATGTACGTATCCTATGTACATATGTGGGAAAGTGTAATGACAGTCGAAAAAAGTTGCTAAGGCCGCTCTAATCCTCACACAAACTTGCATCTTGGCATTCCAGTCAGTTGTAAATTTCTTAGCCATAGCTTAAACTGGGGTCTTTTGGGATCTTTAACAAAAACTCTTCCATCCAACACCCCTCGAACGGCAACAATATCGTAAGAGTTTATTTGCATAAACTTACTTAAACTACCACTCCAGCTTGGTTGCCAAAGTGCCACTCCCCAGCACTTTGTTGTAGAGCCAAAGATAGATTCCTTTGCCCGGCATAAATATTCATATGTTTATTTCATGGCAAACAACTCGCAAACAATGGGCAGCGGGAACGTAGTTGAAGATGGAGCATCGTTTTGGGGGTAGACTTGCCTCTGCTCTGAGATGAAACAGCTCTCGATTGGGGTGCACGAATATCGCATGATTTTTGCACTTCATTAAAGTAAAGTATTAGAACAAAATAAAGAAAGAACAAAAGCAGAGCCCCCTGCTAAAAATAAATTTAAGCTTGCTTCTGAACATCAAACATTTACTATAAGTTGCTGAAAGTAGGGTAGATCTCTTTTAAATTAAATTAAAAGTAGAGGAAAATTTATAATAATTAACAATAAACATTTGAAGACCCAGTTTATAACGAATTTATAAAACTTTAATAAACTCTTCAAAAAACAACGTTCAGGCAGTGAAATGCTGAAAGCGGAAGCCTTGGTTCGTTTTCACTTGAACTCCTGATGCAAGCAGTTCTGTCTCTGAGAAAAGAAGCTTTTTTGCACCAATCAATAGTGGGATAGTGGTTAATGGTTATTAATATTTTTGTATAAGTATTTATATACCTATCCATATATCTTTTTAGCCACAGTTAATAATAGTTTATAGTTTGTTGATTGCTTCTGTTTTTGATCTTTTTATCACTGTTATAGATTTAACTATTATTTCTCTTAAATGGTTTTAGTATCTATTTTACCTTATATTTATTCGTTTGACTTCAACTTTTCCCCATTTCTATTCTTCCTGTTGCCCTTTTAAGGTATTAGTTTTCACTGCTAATATCACTTTCAGGAGCTGAGACTCGTTTCGATTTCACTTGCTTCAGCATCAGCTTCAGCTCCAGTTTAATAATCATATACTTTTACCCTTTTAGCTGTTGGCTGTTGGCTGTTGGCTGTTGCTGTCTTGTACGTGTAGCTGTTGCCCCTGTGTTGACGTCTGTATTTTTGTTGTAGTTGGCAGACGCCATAACCGATTCTGTATTGTATGGCCATAGCCCCGGGGCAAGTGTCAGCATCAGTGGATGATGCGGCTGATGATGCTGCTGCTGGGAAAACTTTCCCACATGCCAGCAGAAAGGCAAAGTCAAAGCAGCGACAGAGAAAAAAGGAGGAAATTAAATTTCCAGCAAAGTCAAAAATTATATTGGCAATAAATGAAGACACAGCCGGCGAGACTGGAGACTGGAGACGGAGTCATAGCCGTGGAGCTGTATAGCCAGACGTAACGCGCCCTGCAATTACGACTTCTCATTTGCGGGGGTGGCTGCCTCGGGGCATGGGCACGGTGGCTAGATGGGCAAATGGTATGGGCTGATGGGGGGCACGCAACGTTGCCAAACAGGAAGCCGGAATCGACGTTTATTAAAACGGAA